TTGTAAATCTTAGCCTTGATACCTCTCAACTTACGCGCCTTTTCGGCCCTCTTATGTGGCTCACGCGCTTCCTTCTTTCTTTTCCGTTCTTCATAATCAAGCCGCCTACCGTAAAGCTTTTTGTGGCGTTCAATGTATTCGTTCTGCGGCATTGTTGTTGCTTTAACGGCAACTACAACAAAATTCGTTTGCTTATCAAATCTTCTAAAATACTTCCACCAATAGCTGTTTATAACCTCTTCACTATCAAACAGTTACACAAATCACGTTTTAACTTAATTACGGATCGAAGTTTAAAAAGCACCTCTCATCTGATAAACTATTTAATTGAAAATAGTAGAATTATTGGAAAGGTGCATAAATAACCAAAAACAGATCAGAAATATATCCACGTGAAATTTTTTTATGGATAGTTATTACTTATTGGGGACCAATATTATTAAAAATTACTTACGTCTACATTAATCTCAAAGGTATATAGTACTTAAATTTCAGTGATTTTACTAATATTACACAAAATATAAAATGTTTTACACGAGAACGACTAACTTACCTTATGCCGACACCATGCCACAAGGAAAAGGAAGTACAGTTAGGGATGCAACGATATATCGGAAAACAGATAAATATCGATATATTGACACCTAAATATATCGATAGTTATCCATATCGATGATATACCGATATCGATAATTCAATATCGGCAAAAACGCGATGTATCGAACAAGATATATCGAAAACCAGCACAAATTAAAATATTCACAAAATCAGGTAAAATGCTATTACTTACAATGGCTTTATGAGTCATCTACCGATTGTAGCAACAAGTGTTCCATCAGAACGTCTTAATTCGAAGGCAGGAGCTACTATAACCCAGAGCCAAAACTGGCTACTTGGAAGCAGACTTTCTAAGTTATTATTTTTAAATTCGATAGGTGGTACATAATACTGGAATTATTTTTTTAAATTATATATTAAAATAATAAATTTTAAAAAGAAAACCTTTTAAAAACAAAAAAAACGATGAAATATCGATATATCGGCGTACTTGACCGATATATCGATATATAAATATCAACTTGATTCAATATATATCGTTATCGATATATCGATATTTTTAAAAACTTTGCATCACTAAGTACAGTACAACAATACATAGATAAATAAATATGTAGCAAGCTACAACAATACACCACAGAGATATTCGATGATCATCTATGTTAAAAATTAAAACATCGATGTTTTAATATCGATGTTGCTACAAGTCAAACATCGAAGAATCGATGTCAATGGGCCAATAATAGATTAATAAGAACTTGTGAACAATGAGAAATTGACGGATCACTATCACCTAATATTAAATCTCCTATTAAAGGTTTAAATTTTGAATAATTTAGGATTCCTAAACGCATCGATCTCCTAAAAAATATCATTATCGTGTGTCAAACTCACTGTCAAATATGAACTGTAATGTCACAATTGTCACTGTTTTCGCTTTTTTATTCCGTAGTGTCATTGTCGGTTGCCAACTAATAACTATTCTACATAAATTGATATTCAAATTAATTGTTTTTTCTCTTGCTGTCCATACCAACAAAATTATGAAACAATATGTTTTACACAATTCAATTATATGTTTAGCTGTTTTTTTTTTTTTGAGCTTCGGGTAATGAGTTTATTGTTTGCTTGAAGTTTATGAAAATAAATCTTTAGGCAGCCGTCAGCTTAGACAATTTGACTGCATAGTGCATTCGACCGTGCATTTTATAAACAGCTGTGAATACTTACTTTTCGGGCTGGCTGATTAAAAATTGTGATCACAGGTGACGGAGAAATCTATTACTTTAGTTTTGTGAAGTTTGTTAATTTTATTTCTTGATAGGAGTAGTTAATATAAAAACCTACGTCTAAATCGTAAACTAGATCCCATAATATTTCTTTTCATACTGAATTTATGAGTGTATAGGAACATTTAAAGATCAAAATGATAACATTCATCATCATCGGCAAAAAATATAACAAATCAACTAGATATTTGTTAACCTTTTGCTATTTTTTATGATTGTTTACACTATTTATTTTATTTTATTAATAACAATCCATAAACAACACTACTAATTTTTTATACCTCTAATTTTAACCCTTTTAAATAGGTGGTACATGTGTAATAGTATCGATAATGGCCAACATCGGTGTTTTGAGTAGGTTAAATATCGAACATCGATGTTAAGCTATCGATAACAACATCAATGTCACCATCGATGTTTCTGCAACATCGATCATCCCTCGTTAATCATAGACAAACTGATGGATGAAACCATGTAGGTTAGAGAACAGGAGAACGATCGACGTAGAAAATTGTGTCCCAGAAATGTGGACACCATAAGTGAAGCGCTGCGATCGATAAGTTCACTCAATAAAAGTCATTTTCAATCTACTTTCCGATCAGATGCTAAACCACTTGTATATCCACGCACAATAAAATATTCCTCCATTTTTTAATGTTTGTTTTTGTCAAAAATTACAAAATTACGGAGCATGAAAATTTCCTCACCAATTCCGCGAAGAAAAGAAAATTTGTACATTATTCAGCTAACTTCATCTACTTGTACTCATAAACAGCTAATATAAATAGCCGCTATAAATTCTACAATTTTCAAGGACAGGCGGGCTATGCTTTAGTACGTAGCGATCGTTCTCCTGTTCTTTAACCTCCATGGATGAAACGAAATACATCGATGTTTTAAGAAAACTCGATGTAAAATGTAAAATAAATACATCGAATCAATCTGACTAGCAAATAGTTCGTCCACATCAAGTAAATATTGATGCTTTTTATCGAAGAGGCAAACCTGCTAGTATACCATTGCTTTCACATAAGCACAACATTGTTTGCAGTCATCGAACCGAAAATACAAAGTCCGAACGAGTTTCATCCTGTAAGGATCAAATTCGTTAATACGCACATAAACATACATCTTCATAGAATAAAACTAATTTTCCATAAATAGCAATGCAGACAACATATTCGTTTCGGATCGATGATTACTAGTTTCTATTACATTCAAAACAGCCTATAATGAATGCTATAAGAGACGAGAATGGCTATATTTTAAATGATGAAGTTTAGAGTTTAAGGAGATGGAAGGATATTTTGAAAGCGTGTTTATGAGTGAGCTAACTACGTATGAAATAAATGAAATAGAAACTTCGAAAGACGAGGATAGAGGTAGCGAGATAAGTATAGATGAAATAATGAAAGCAGTGAAAAGCACGAAAGCAAGTAAGGCAGCCGGATATGATAGAGTTTCACTCGAAATGCTAAGGGCTGGAGAGGAAGTGGTGGCAGGCCTGCTGCATACCTTGTTTAATTTATGCTGGGCATAGCGGGTACCGGTAGATTGGTGCAAAGCCGTGATAGTCCCAATACATAAAGGAAATGAATGAGGAAAGAGTGACAAGGAAAATTTATGTTGCAGAAGTGAAGGGCAGAGTCAGTAAGGGAAATTGGCGATATATAGAAAACGGGCCAAATTAGGAGTACCTTTAACCGACGAGCATGTATGCGTAGGTATATGGATGTGGAGGAGGCGAGAGAGGTGTGTCAGGAATCAGGATCGTGCCAAATGGAAGTATGTTGTCTCTGCTTACCTCTCTGGGTGACAGACGTGGTGTTTATGATTACTATATAGTAAATTGTCGCTTATTCAAAAGCAACGGTATCCATTTGCTACAAATACATTGTAATGACTTGTGATCGAAACCTACGTTAAATATCTATAATGGAATTAACTTTCGTTTAATAACATCAAAATTTTTGAAAAAAAAATCTTTAAAAATCCAAATGGCTGACCTCTCGTTACTTAAATCAAATTACTTCACTTTACTCACTCATCACATCACGGAAAACAAATAACGAGTGCATGATGTGTTGTTTTCATTAAATTAATAAGTAGCCCGTCTTGATTCCCAAAATTATATATTATCTTAGACCATTATGTATTTTTGTATATTTCATATTGTATTTTTATTAATATGTTGATATAATATCAATGGCATGCATGTACGATGCATTAGATCGAAAAAAAATACATAGAAAAGAAAATATGGACAGATAAGATAAATCCACATGTACCGATAAACTGCATTTCCATAAATTGCCGACTGGGTAGCGCCATGCTGCAGCTATCCGTAGATTTATAAATTTTTACATTTAATTTAACCATAATGATTACTAATACGTGTATCAGGAGACGTAGTAATAGCTATTTACTTTGACATCCATCTCCTTCAAAAATGTGAACTTTATGCGAATTCATGCGAATGTGTAGTCATTGCATAACCCATTCGCTGTCTCGTGTAATGTTATATAATTCATTGCTATTGTGTCTGAAAATCGGATAGTAAAAGTGTTAATTTGCGGTTTTTTCTCACGATAACCGAGGAGTTTAAAATCATTACGTTGCATCAGTACATTTAGTCGCGGGTTAAGATATACATCCCTTATCTTTGAAAATAACAACAAATACAACAATCACTTTCTTTCTTTTTAATAATCGTTCCGCATCGTAATTTGCCATTATTGTTCACTACTACAATCAATAAATAACACAATCTTGAATCGAGATCCAAATATCACATATCGTGATATTTGGATCTCGATTCAAGATTGTGTAAAATCACGCGTAAAGCATCCTCCTTACTCTATAATATTTTTTCATGATTCAACTCTATGATTTTAAAGAACATCGTATTGGTCATAATTTTAAAGCTTCCTTATGATTGGTTCGTTAGTTATGGGAAATTGTTATTAACAGGGTTTTGATTGGTCCTTAGCAAACATTTGAAGTGTTGTTTGAGTGCGTTTCAAAAATTTATTCACGAACGAGTCGAAACGAGTTGGTGCACGAAAATCTTTTATCGAAATCTTAACAAACCATACACTTCATTTCATCTGAGGACTTTGGTCATATTTAGAATTTAGAAAACGTTCACGTATTATGAATACAACGGCTTCGTTCTCATCTGGTATGTATTATTAATGGTGTAAATCTGAATTGAAACTGTTAATTATTATTTAAATCAAGATGGTGTCAAAATACGTTATGATAGGTTTATTGTTACAAATTCTCTGCATACCTTTTCCTAGAGGTATGTATTGTACCTGGTTTTATAATAGCATTTTTGTCAAGGTCATATCAATAAATAATCATGAAATGCCAAATTTATTTGATTGTTAATTTTATCGTTACTGAATTTTAGGCGGTTTATTTATCCACTACACGCTGAAATGCTATTGTTTTTATTTTACTAAACACTGAGAGGTAATATTGTTTTCTATGATTAATTAATTATTTACAAAATGCTTGTGCCATTCCTAGTACAAGCATGTTGTTAATAATTAGAATATAAATATAACAACAGAAACGGAGATACTACTATTAGTAATAGCAGAAGGAGTAGACAAAACCTGCAAACCTTTTTCAGGGGTATGGGTGATTGAACCCTCGGGCCTCGTAGTTTTTGAGAAATATAGTTGGCATTTAAATGGTCCAATAGCCACCTCAAAGCTGCTATTATCTAAACCCGCTGTACCTAAACTTATTGTCGCAAAAATTACTTGATAGACACTTGAAAATCTTTTTTTTTTTATACTATCTTTTCTTTTTTTAAAGTTACTACACTAGGATTTTCTCCCGAATCGTGGAGGCAGTTTATATACATAAATTGCACAAGGACATACATCCAGACCCTGAAAAATTAGTTGTAGGCCATACAAATACTTGTTTCATGTGGGATTCAAACCCTCGGCCCTTAACGCTATAAGTCATTGCTAAGCTACTGCGCCACGGAACCATCTGCTAAGCTACTGTGCTAAGAAGTCATCACAATACAGGAGAAAACCCTAGTGTGGAGGTTACTTTAAAAAAATTGTTCTGTTAGAAATTAGAATAGACCGTCTATAACCTTATAGGTTAAATTGGCCAAGTTGGGGTATAACTTCAAAATATATCTAATTTCTTCTTTTGATTCACTCATTTTGGCGGATAGAAAAACAATTGAAAAATGGCGGGAAAGTGTTTTCTACTCTTTATTTTTATTTGGTAACTATCTTATGAGAGACTTAAACTTATTATTCTGATATAGTATCATTAGCTAAACAATTATAGATATAAAAAGATTAAAATTTTACATGGAAATTGTGTTTGTGTCTACTGAGCTATATGTTAAACATTTTCATATTGATATTGGTGAATGCATCAAAAAAGAAATGAAGATTAAGAAAAACAAATACTCTAACTAAATTATACAATCATCCTTACTGCCTATCAAAGACCACTGCTGAACATACATATGCTTCGCATACACCTAATACGTCATCGGCCGAAGTTTGCTCGGGCGATGACAGCTGAACTCTGACGATAGAATCAAACACTTGGAAAACACAAAGAGCGCTTAGGTACACAAACATGGCCGTTATCGTCCGATAATGGCGCACGCACGAAAATGGCGGATAAACCGTTGAGTCCGAACTTGTTGGGATTTCTTTCCCGACTGCTGGCATCCACAGTGCAAATTGACTGTATTTATAGTTTAATTTAATCAACAACAACAACATAAACAGCATAAGCTTTCACGCCTGTCACCCAGAAGAGTAGGCAGAGACTACAGCCTACCATTTGGCACGATCCTGACACACCTCTCTCGCCTTTTCCACATTCATATAACTACGCATACATGCTTGTCAGTTAAGGGTACTCTTAATTTGGCCCCTTTTCAGTAGGTCGCCCATTTGTTCGACAAATTTTCGCCTAGGACGTCCCTTACCGACTGCCGTTCACTTCAGCAATATAAATTTGCTTTATAACTCTTTCCTCATTCATTCTCGTAGTTTTTGAGAAATGTTCTTTCTACATGACCAAACCACTGAAGCATTCATTTCTTAATCCTCGTTACAACATCATCTTGCATCCCACACTCTTCTCTTATTACACAATTTCTCACCCTGTCAGTCAGATTTACCCGAATTTGAAATAAAATATAAAATGGAAAAGAATACCAGTAATGTCCAATGTCGGCACAAGTGGTACACTGTTGTAGTGTAAGCACATACACGTCTGAGTTACACTTCCGGGTAGTTCTGTCTGCCATCGGCTGACAAAATCAGTTTTGGTGTAAATGTACTGATAGGCTATGGATTGCCTCATATAGGACTATATTTGCCATGGTCTCCACAATTTGGTTGACAATCTCAGTTTTTTATTATTACCTTTACATACTACTTACCCTTATCCTATAAAAAGAAACAAATGCTGCCTCCATATCCTGTTTCAATGTCCCTCTGTCGCTTCATGTGACTTATGGTATGATATGGCATAATCCACTATGGACTCTTTTACCGCCACTATGTAGGTAAAAATAAATACAAACATTTATTTAATTAATATGGCAAAAATGCAATATTTTCAGAACATTCATGGAGCAGACGTTGTTCTACAGAAACGGTGTATAGCCTTCAAGGGAAAGAAACTGGTAAGACTTCACTAAATTACTTCTTTAGCCTGTGATAATAATTTGCCATTAGTATTTTTTTTACAAATGCATGTTTTTTAACTATTAAGGAGAGGTGGGGTGTGATAAATATTTTATTGATACTGATTTTTTGAACATTTTAAAATTAATATGTATAATTTCCTAAAAAAAATATTATGCTGTAAATGATTTTAGCCAACAAATTATTGAGTATAATGCAACTAACATTTTCAGTTGGTACCTCAATTAAAGTCTTACATTTCTTATTGAATGCCACAGGTTCATTACAAGGTGGTAAATATGTTTGAAATGGAAGCCGTACACAGTAGAGCCATGCTGCAGCTGTATTTAGCTGCAGCATAAATGGGTCAGCTCAACCAGGGAAGGTCCACGTTCATACAGAATTTTGGCGTAAAGTAGCAGTAAGTAGCAGCAAATAGCATAGCATAATTTTATTTGGTGAATGCAGAGAACCAGCTTCCATTTCGTGTTAGTGTTTAGGGGTGACAACACATCAGCATTTTGATTCTAAATTGATGATAATGTAGTGTCTATGGACCACATTATTCTCAATTAATAGGCAGACACTGGGTGCGTTTGGCAGAAAAAAGCGCTAGCAAGCGCTTGTAAGCAAAATGGCGATCGTAAGCGGTAAGCGCTGTCAAATCGTAAGTAGCTATTTTCCTCTAGGACACGATGTTAGTTTTAACCGGGGAACCTAACCTAATTTAAATATATGTTTGTGAAGTATTCATATAAAAAAATTACCAATCATGAATTTTTAATAACATGTACATGTCTATTCATGTCATTATATTACTTAAAACAAATATTGCAAAAAAAACAACTTATAAACTCTACTTCAAAATAAACAAATTAAATAAGCAAAATGGCGGATTGTGTCAGCGCTACTGAAGTAGCAATCGTGTCCTGGCCGAAAACTATTTACCTCCTAGCGCTTTTTTCTGCCAAACGCACCCTATGTATTAGTTTGTCATCCTTACTTCTATTATATTCTTAAATCTATTTCTATAAGTCAATACATTAATTTTAGTTGCGACGCCGAGGGCCGTGGATTCGAATCCCGCACGAAACATTTATTTGTATGGGCTACAAATAATTGTTTCGGATCCGGATGTTTGTTTATTTTTGTGAAATTTATGTATGTGTATGACTGCCCCCACAATACAGGAGAAAATCCTAGTGTGAAATTCTTGCTATGGGGCAATGCGACTGGCACTGAAGTCATATTTGTTTTGCAAAAGGGAGCTGTATGGGCGATTTATATCCTTAGTTGTAAAGAATCCTTAGAGAAAATTTTAAAGAAATAAACACATTAAGTTTGGCATCGCAATATATTTATGAACATAAAAACATTAAGAGCTTTCATAAGAATAAAAATGTTCATACTTTAAATGCTAGGAACAAACATAAGCTTGTAATACCCCCGGGAATGAGGTGATCTCCACCATGCTGGTTCTACAGTGTGAGTATTTATGAAGTGCACATATCCAAACCAGGGAAACTACATATAATTTCATCGACGGAAAAATTGTGTATATATTTTTTATGAATATTTTAAAATTTGAAATTGCGCCTGCTAACCCTTAAATAAATTGTTATAACTTTTAAACTGAATGTCCTATCAAAATGGAATAAATTTTTGAATTATTGTTAATAATAAGCCGTGCCAATAAAGTAAAAATTTCCAAAAAAAGAAACGCCATAAAATTAGAATAAAGAGGTATTTGATTAAAATCTGGTATTTTTTTTCATCTTTTTTACAATAACTTTAAAATTTCTCGAAAAATCATCCCCTTAGTCCTACTTTTTTAATATTATGTTTATTCTACATCATATTAGCTTTTAATGGTAAAAAATGCACGTTTATTACTCTAATGCAACCATTTCTATGAGTGTTTGCAAAAGCCCTTGCATTTGCGCATCGTGTAGCTAAGCACTCGCCATTGTTTATCAGACAGGGATGACCTTTTTTTTTTTGGGTGAGTCATTGTTTTAATAAATAATAAATTATTTATGGAGATAAAATCTAGTTTTATTCCTAAAAATGTAGTTCTCTCTACCTGCTTCGGTGCTTAACTGGGTTATGTGTTTTTTTTTAAAATGCTAATTAATAAAGTTGCATCAGAGTAATAAACGTGCATTTTTTACCATTAGAAAGCTAATACGATGTAGAATAACATAAGATTAAAAAAAAAGTACGATTAAGGGGACGATTTTTCGAGAAATTTTAAAGTTATTGTAAAAATGATGAAAAAAATACCAGATTTTCATCAAAAACCTCTTTATTCTAATTTTATGACGTTCATTTTATTGGAAATTTTTACTTTATTGGCACAACCTATTATTAACAATAATTCGAAAGTTTATTCCATTTTGATAGGACATTCATTTTAAAAGTTATAACAATTTATTTAAATAGGAATAGCACCTGCAATTTCAAATATTATAATATTCATAAAAAAATAAATAATTTTTTATAATTTTTCCGTCGATGAAATTATATGTAGTTTCCCTGGTGTTGACATGTGCACTTTATAAAGACTCGCACTGTATAAAAATTGTAAAAAAAAATATTGTAAAGTGAAATATGGACAGAGGTTTTTCCGAACCAGTGGTAAATAAAATGACTTAATAAATGTTATGCAATAATCTGTATTGAATAAAATCTTTCATTTTTGATAATAACTAATAATTGTTAAGGGCTTAATTTTTGCAGAACGGTAGTAAATTCTTAATATAACATAGCCTTTTAGGTAAAACAGCAAATATGAGTGTATTTATATAGTGCATTTAAAAATACAATTATAATGATAGTAGCAGTTACACAGAAAGCTGTATTTTAGTAATGTTTAATTATACATCTATATTAAATTATAACATACATATCTACATGCCTACTTATACACACACATATACACTAATCATCAGTATTGATAGTTATTAAGGTAACCATATACTATGTCTGTAAATGCAGGACAACATTTTTAGTTAGTAGGTAGTTTAGTTAGTTTCTCAGTTGTTTACATTTATAGTAATCTTGGAAATGTTGAAATTAATCAAAGTAGCCATAACTTTATTTTCTTTTTTCATTTTTCAACTTTGTAAACAGCCTACATATGTTCTGAGCACAGGCTCCTTATTTTTGAGAAAGTCTTTTTTTCATTTGATGGTCACAATTTTGTATGAGAAAATAAATAGTAGCTAATTATAACCTTTTAATGCGCGAAAGTGTTAGTAATATCATGTGATTTCTTTGTTTTAAACTTTCCGCTAGCATTGTTAATTTTCGACTATATGGCGATTTCTTCAAGTAAAAGTATAAAGCGAGATTCGATTGATAGAAGTGCAACCTAATCAAAGAGTAATTGATTAAGCCCGTGTTCTACGTCCAAGTGCTTCGATAAGTCGATAAAGTGGGTCTTAAAGAGAAGTCTCAAATAATTATTATCAAAATAGCGTGTTTAGTCTATAGCGGGACGCTCGATGTTCCGCCAAAAGCCATATCTCTGGCTCCCGTCGCTATCTACATTGAAGAAATAGTAACATTAAAAATATTTTTGCATTAAACCAAAATTTACCAGCATAAAAAATTTATATGTAAAAGTATTAAGTTAATAATTCAAGTATATCACACCAAGGGTCAACAACTTCAGACAAAAGGCTTATCTTGGTTATTTATTTGGTTTAAATAAAAAAGTGCTATTAATATTATCCCAGGAAATTCAAAAAGGCGGTTGCACTAAACCCAGCAAAAGTCCGATAGTTCGCGGTAAATGGTATTCGTTCATGTCACTCGGTGCAATGACTCACGGATACGACGCAGCAAAACTTGCACCAACCTGTCGTGACTGTTATAAGACTGACTGCACGTTTTCCATTCTTGTTTCCTGTTATTTTGGTAATGCGGCCATTGTTCTTGAAGCATAATAAATTGTTTTTATCATTAAATATTAGACACGTAATTCAATTATCACAATGCCATTATCAAAATTCAAGCGTTTTTAGTATTTGGTTGATTTATTATTAAACATTTTAGTCTTAAAGAAATTAGAATACACAAAACCTTCTGAGTTAGGTTTGGTTAGGAAGGAAATTACCAACAATTTTTACTATATGAAAACAAAATATTGATCCGCAGGGATATGTTATGTTATATATTATTTTTTTATTAACTACATTATTGGTTTATTTAAATCAAGAATTCTCAAAGTTGTCAATATTGACTCCTTGGGGTCAAAATCGGTATCCCAGCAGTCGACATAAATGAAGACTGATGATTTCTAACTGTAATTTGTATTAATAAGTATTAGTTACACCTGATATTTGTCTTTATTTTGTAAAATTTTGATGAGAAAATGATGTCAAGTTTACTCAATTAACCAACCACAGAAAGTTTTTAAATTTGGAAGTATTTTGTGTCAATAGGAAAAGAAATTAGAGATAGTATTTTTAAAGTAATTTGGCTATAGAGGTGTATCAGTTCATTTTTGAAAAGCCCAAAATAATAGGAAGAATAATAGTCTAGCATTAAACTCAATGCAATTACATTTCCAAAATACAAATAAAAAATTAAGAGTTATATAAGTTGTATTAGGCATTATTTGTAAGGATCAAAAAAAAAGTTTAGAATTTAGATTATTGACCACTAAACCTAATACTGTATAATGCACATTTAATTAATCAATATTATTTAGGTAACTTGTATTTCAACAACTGTTATGAACTTCTCCAATCACAAGAATTTTGGATTTTATTGGATGCGATTATTATAAGGTACCTTATAGTAATGATAGTTAGTCCTTCAAAACATTTAGATTTGTATAGCTTTTATCATGTGCATGATTTCTTAAAAATTTTCATTAATAGTTCATAACCTTGTCAGATTTAAATCATCATTATGTGACATCGGAGCAGCCACCGTGAGGGGTATAAAGCATGGACACGAAGAGTTCCCACTGGCAAATCATAATTAAATAAAAATCATTATTTACAATACAATTCAAATGTGTTACTGATTCTATTAGTGGATCTGTCATCTAAATGGACTCGCAAACTTGCAATTTATTACTTAAAAGCAAATTATACCAAATGTATTTATTTACAGTCTTATTCATAAAAACTCTTAAAATGGGTTTATTAAGGTCAAAACTAACATTTTCTTCATTTTACAGTGTTTATAGTACCTACATATAAATATAGACTTTAACTGGAAAATTTGTAGGATAAGAAGGATTTTGTGAGAAATTACATTTAGGACTTATTGTGGGATTGTCTTGCAAAATCCTAAAGAGAATGCTCATCATAAGATGTCTTATTATAATTTAATATATGACTTTTTATGAATAAGATTGTTAATTGTTTCTAATTCATCGCTATTGATTTACTGCCATTATAATACTGTTTAAACTGATGCTACTGCCAAATTAATAGATAAGTCATGTTTTTTCACCGACTTTAAAGAGGAGGGTTCCGACTGTATGTTTTTTTTGTTACCTCATAAATTTTCTCTGGGTGAACCAATTTTGATGATCTTTTTTATCTGAAACCTGGTGCTTCTCGTGTGCTCCCTTATATATTTAATCAAGATCTGACTAATAGTTTTAGAGTTATCTTTAATAATGCATATTAAATTGACTTTGAATACATTGATGATGTTCTCATTTTAATTAATTTGAAGTTGGTTGTATAAAATTTTTAATTCTACCACTTGTTTATTAAACTTACTGCTCGGTATTAACATGATGAAATATTATTTTAATAACTTGGTTCATATATAACAATGTGCTATATAGTGGCAATGGAGCATGGTGTTCGTTTTGTATGTTGCATTATTTTATAATAATTTCTTCTGGTAAGATTGTTCTAAAAATATATTCAGTTAATTTATTGAATCATTTCTTACTAGAATAATAGCATAATCATAATAGCTATACAAAGTAATGTACAAAAATAGCTCTTGAATGTATTTTTAGACTAATTCATTTTCATTCAGGGGTTGTAAAAAAAACCTAAATGTTAGTATATGCATAATGATAAAAAATATAATCTTGGTAATTATCTTTGGCAACCCAAAAAATAAAGTATGCTAATTTTGTAACATATAGTGGTAAGTACTGTGTGTGCGTGTGTTGGAGTGCACTTTTGTTGTTAATGTTTCAAAGTTTTTGTTGATTTTGCATGTTGATGTTGAAATAAATGTGAAATTGTATATTGATTTGAAATTAAAAAAAGGCTAAAAAATAATTCAAAATCAGAAAAAAATATCATTATAAAAAACAATTAGAAGATTAAAAGAGACTAACACTAAAAAAATATAGTAAAAATAATAATAAACAAAAAAAAAAACACTTAAACATTATTAGAAAAAAATAGATGTTAAAAAAAAGTGAAAAGGCCAAAGCATTCAAAGGAATTCTCAACCCTGGCAGCGGAGTTCGTAAAGGTGCAAATCAGGAAAATGGTGTGAAGCAAATTCTGAACTGGTTGACTGTTTTTGTTGAAAGTTGTGGTGTTTGTAGATTTTGTGCGAGACACGACTGACACAGAGTCATTGGACAGCGACGACGAGCGAGACGTGGAGTACGAGCCTGTAACAGAGTCCGAGGATGATGCACCGGTCACTTGTGATTCTTCTGGTGGAAGCGATGTGAGTGAATCATCTTTTTCTATCCAGAACATAAATAGAACTATAATGATTTCTTTAATTTACGCGAACACTATGCATTGAATAAAACTATTTATACAGATTTTATCGCGTTTAATAAACTTGTTTTTAATTCCCGACGTTTCGGGTGCTTTACAGCATCCATCGTCACAGGGAGGACTGAGATATTTGACATCCCAATGTCATAGCCCGGCTACCTTCAGTTTTTAAATATGAATTTTTGGTCCATTCTACGCAGAAGGAACTTACAGTATCGTGCAATGGGATGCTTGGGTTTGGGTTTAATTTTGTTAATTGTAGGATCCCAAGCAGATGGTAGCACCCAGAATCTATCTTCTCTATTGAAATTAGGATGTTTTTTTAATTTCAATAGCCTCGCATATCATCCTTGGTAAGAATCGATGTTCTTTTTGTTCTATTAGTGGTTTATGCAGACTTTCCGGAGCGTCGGTGCTTCACGTCAGCTATATGTTCTTTCACGCGGGTGTTTACAGATCTTTTTTGTTTGACCTATGCAAGAGAGACCACATTCACAATCTGGCTTGTACACTCCTTGTTCACAATCTAGCTTGTGTATTCCTCTACAATATGCAGGAGTATACAAGCTAGATTGTGAATGTGGTCTCTAAATAAGTTTATTAAACGCGATAAAATCCGTATATATAGTTTTATTCAATAAATAGAACTATATTTAATTTTTAAAACTACTTTATTAAATAAAATTTCCATTAAAATGAATTTCCATTGAAATTACAGATTGAGAAATTGCGTGATAAGAGATAAATGTGGTATGCAAGATGATGTTGTGACCAGGATTAAGAAAGGAATGCTTCGGTGGTTTGGTCATGTAGAAAGAATGAATGAGGAAAGAGTGACAAAGCAAATTTATATGGCAGATGTGAACGGCAGAGTCGGGAAGGGACGCCCTAGAAGAAAGTTTATCGATCAAATCGGCGATATTTTGAAAACAGGCCACATTAGGTGTACACTTAACCGATGAGCATGTATGCGTAGATATATGGATGTAAAGGAGGCAAAAGAGATATCGTGCCAAATGGAGTTTGTAGTCTCTGCCTACCCCTCTGGGTGACAGGCGTGAGTGTTTATGTATTATGTATGTAATTTCCATTAAAGTGAGTACTCTTCATCACTCCTGGCATTACTCTATCTGTTCATGAAGTTTCGTCGCAATTGGTTCTGTCATTCTGCAGGTTGGCCAGGATGGACAGATATGCAGGCAGATAAATGTATTAAAAAATATTATTCATGTTTTAATGGCATGCAAATTAATTCCTCAGCCCAAGGGAAGCTCAGCAGGGGCAGTTGTTTCCATAGACAGACACTTCAGTTTTTTTTTATATGTATGGATGAAAACATCCAATTGGTAAATTTAAACAAAAGTAATGTCTGACAGAAAATCCAATAATTTTTCTCTCTTTTTAACACGCTTTTATTAGTTTCGCGTGTATCTATCTATGTAACGGAATCTTTTAATGTAATTTTCACCAACTTGTGTAGACAGTCGACTATCTTGAATATTTGCCCTCGTATCAAGAACCGATGAAAATACAATAATTTAATAGCCTTATCTTAGTATCCTGATCAGGATCACCTGGATAGATCAGACGCAGACGCATTGATCATGAGCTGTGATGATTTCTAGAATTATCACAGCTCATGATCAATGCGTGTTTCTTAAGTTGTCTTAAATTTTAATATTATTTACAGAATGAAATAATAGCCACGAAAGTGATCGAAGTATCCGTACGGGATGATGGAGACCTCGTGTTCGCGGACTCCGAGCAGACTGAGTCGAACGCCAGCGACAGTGAGATGGACCTGCACGACTACTGGTACTGCGCACAGTGCCTGGCTGCCAACAACAACCCGCTGTATCGGTACTGCGAAAAGTGTTTCAAGGTATGATATTGGGGCTCCTGTTATTTCTTTCTAATTTCTTGTCATTTGGTTGTGCTATTGAATTTACTGAGGATTACCTTTATTTATAAATATCTTCGTTATTTAATTATTTATTGAGGCAATTTGATTTTTAGTATGTTACTTAGTTTATTGACAGTTTTATTTCTGAGCCATTTAAATACTTTGTGGCATTTGGTTAGATAAGTGTCTAAATTTATTTCATAGCTGAGCAAAGATTTTCTGTTAACTTCTTTAAATGTTTATAGATATTTCAATCACCTTAATTTTGCTTCTACTTCCAAAACAGTATTTTCAAATAATCTACAAAGTTGTTGCGCTAAAATAATAGTTTGAGTGATTTGAGTAATATTACATAAGAAAACTAAAGGCAACTTAATATGGTAAAATATACAAGTTATAGCCTGATAATGATTGCTTATATTTACTCGATCACATTGAATGGATCTACTTTTGTTTTAACGGATTTTATCGCATTTGACTAGCTTATTTTTATTAATACACTAGCTATTTGCCTGGGTAGCATCTATTGATGTGGTAACATTTGGACTTGAGATAATCAAAAACCATTTATTGTATGAATTCTTCGTATTTTCTTGAACAATTGCTAGTGTTTCAGATAGAATATATCCTGGATCACTTCTGGCATTGCTCTTTATCTGTTTGTGAAATTTCATTACGGTTGGTTCAGCCATTCAAAAGATCAGCCTGGATAGAGACAAAAATTATATAAGTGATTATTCAGCTCAATAAAGGGCAGATATTTCAATTCATCAGACAGACATTTCAATTTTATTTATATATCATAATAGTTTTTCATTTAAAGTTTGATTTCAATTATAGCAGAGCTATACAGAGTGTCTTTCCATCTAAGAGGCAAATTTAACTATTTTCTGTATATGATTTTACTGTATTAATGAAAAATATATTATTATGTCAAAACTCAGCAAAATATGTAATAACCATACCCAATATTATATATTTTGCTGAGTGAAACATTAAATTATGGAGTACAGATAGATTTTGAGACAGGATAATGACAAAAGACATGTATCCTAAGCAGTTATTATAAGGGATTTAAAGAGATATACATTGAGTTGATGAGCTTTATAAACTAAGGGGATATCAGCGGGAAATGCAAACAAGCAGAATGATAAAACAGGATAGAACAGGATTTTGTGGGTTGTCCAATTTGTGGACCAAATTATACCACTTTTAATTTCAGTTGGTTTAAAACCAAGATGTGGAATTCAGAATAATTTCGGCCTCGACATTCCCTTTCTGTTACACAACCAGGCGTTGTAACCTGTGCAGGATATGATACTTAAACTATAATGGAATGGATATTATTGCCATTCACAATATGATTGGAAGAAAAGGTCCTATTTAAAGTTACGTGAAATTTGTGGATAGCATTTAAAATATCAGAAAATAAAGCTGTGGTAGCTCAGATGGTTAGCGCTCGCTGTAAATTTAAGAGTATGCGAGCAATCCGGGTTCTATCCCCGCCGTCACCAATGAAATTGTTAATTGCAATTTTAAGTGCTGATTTACCACTTGCTCGGCGGTGATGGAAAACATCGCGAGGAAACCTACATGTCTGAGAAATAAGAAAATAAATATTTTCCAATACGTGAAGTTCGCCAACACGCATTGGTGCAGCGCGGCGGACACTTCCTTGCCCTAAAACCATCTCAGAATTGAGAGGAGACCTGTGCCCAGCAGAAGGAAGTATATAGGCTGTGATTTTAACTTTAAAATAGCAGATTAAGCTCAAGGTCACTCAACGAGCTATGGAGGGGCTGTGTCCGGGGTTTCTCGGAGTGATAGACTTACAAATGAAGGATAGCTACAGGAGAACCAGAGTAACCGACATAGATCAACGGATTATTAAGCGAAAGTGTAAAATCCGATAACAGATGGGGAAAAAGGTTCTCGTGGCAGCCTCATCCCGGTAGACAAAATGTATAGCATCCCCCTACTAGATACAGGGATGAGCTGGTAAGACATGCAGGAAGTCTGCTCAAGACCGTGCTTTGTGGCATTCCCTGAAGGAGGCCTATGTATGTTCAGCAGTGGACTTGAAAAGGGCTGTAATGAATGAACATTTGAAAAAATAGCAGACCTATGGGATAAAATCTAATACCTTACAAAAATATTGGCTTATCTCTCAGACATTTATTAAATAAAATCGCACCAATTTTATGTATTAACATCTATGTCAAACCATTAATCAAACAATAATACAGGAGCAGCAATTCGCTGGTGGGTTAACTTCCCGCCAAAAGTCCATATTGGCTTTTATTTATAACTTTAATAATAACTAGTCTGGCCATAAATACTGTTACACAAAAACTTCTTTTTTTTTAACATTTTAATGATTTTGAATTTGGAACGCGTTCATTATTTTTAAAAGTTCTTTCGGTTTCGCACCATTTCACATATTTTTTCGTGTTCATTATCAAATTAAAATATGGAATGGGGTGTTAAAGAAAATAGGATTGCGGTGAACGCCTTGCACAAAGTGGGTATGGAGCCGTCGGCCATATTCCAGACACATCAAATGCTTGGTATCAGCCGTATGTTCATATATCGTACTATCAACAGATACAACAATACTTCCTCTATCGAAGACCATAAAAGATCGGGGCGGCCGCGTGCTGTTAGGACCACAAAGGCTGTTAATGCTGTTAAAGCCAGAACCCATAAAACAAGACCTGAAGCTCGTCATATACAGGACATGCCTTAAATCGATCTTTACATTTAGAGAGTGGATCGATCAAAACGCCTGTCGCGATACGCAGGTGAAGGGCATAGAAATATCCTCTTTGCAGATGAAAAAGTTTTCACGATTGAAGAGCACTACAATAAGAAAAATGATAAAGTGAACGCTCATAGTTCTAAAGAAGCTGCTCAAGTAGTCGGAAAGGTATATCAAGGCATCACAAAGCTAAATTTTTTGTGAAAACTTCAGCCAAAGTGTATCAAGACACAGTCTTGGATCGTGTTGCGAAACCTCTCAGCAATACACTTTTTAAAAATGTACTGTGGACTTTCCAGCAGGACCTGGACCTGGTCACAAGGCACGAACTACCCAAGCCTGGCTTGAAACTAACGTTCCGGACTTTATAAGAGCTGAAGACTGGCCTTCATCTAGCCCAGACCCCAACCCTTTAGACTATTAATTTTAGAGGACATGGCTTGCTCTAAAAGACCTGCGACAGAGTCTCTGAAAAAATATCTGGAGCAAGCAGTGGCGAAATTTCCCATGGAAACAGTGCGTAAATCCATAGATTCGTGGCGAGACAGATTAAAGACCTGTATAAAAGCCAAAGGTGGTCATTTTGAATAGAATATTGTTTTTATTTTTTGCTGAGACTAATAAATATGTACATATAAGTTTTAGTAATATTACATTACTTCATTAAAAAAATGCATTTTCATTTGTAACAACAGAACTTCAGTCCATATCCTAAAATATTTTTTTTATATTTTAGGGACGAAAACGACCTTACAGTCCATCTGATGGTGATTTCTACAACTCTTGGAAACCTGCAGCCAACTTTAAACAAAAAGCTACCAATGCGTTGTCACCTCTGAGGAATAACGTGGAATGCCGCACAACCTGTAACTAAACTGGCTGTCAATACCCTTCAAATTTAAATACAGCAGAGCATGCATTTTCATTGATATTTGGCTGCAGGAATAGGTAAAAGGTTGGTACCCAGACATACTACTAAGCTAAAAAGAGTCTTCAGGTTTACGATCTATTGTCGAGTCATCCCTTGGAAATATTGTTTTAGCGAGTCCAATACTAATACCCACCCACTATAGACGTGCACATCACCATCCTGAATATTTCATATATTTGTAGAATTTATATCTCGTCATATTATGTCGAAAGTCTCGATATGTTTAGGCGTTATCTCTCATATCCCCTTTATAATGCGTACATTACACGCTCATGCAGGCGTCAATCAGTTCCATCAATAATGATTGAAAAAAGCGAATGGTGACTGATAGGCGTACATTACGCGCTCACGCAGACATCAATCACTGCATTACACGGTAGGTTATTCGTCAATCACAACCGTGATTGATGTAAAACTGACAGCCTGCATGAGCGTGCAATGTTACGCCTACAGATATGGAGTTTGGGTGCGATGGAATTATGTTTTCTCCACCACATTTTTGTTATAATTAAAAATTTGTATACATGGCATATGTTATCAGTAGTCCGTAATACTTTACTGAACCTGAAGTTTACTTAATTGGGAAAAGGGTATCAATAAGGAGACATATTGTTTTTACTATGACTAATTAAACTACTTTATTCTACACTTAACACTATTATATACTGTCGTGGGGGCTACACTATCGAATATTTGCGGTTTAGTTAACTCTTATGGACTGATATACAAGAAGAATATGTCGTTTATACATGAAATTATTAAGTACATTATTATTATTACAGCCTGTTAAAGTCCTCTGCTGTATATAGCCCTTAAACTTAATAAGAGGGATATTTGTGATAGTCGCCGCTTTGCATTGAAATGAAATGAATGATTTTATTCAACACAGATTATTATATTATAATACTTATTGAAAGTCCTTTTTTAATTTACCACTTGCGTTTACCATTTGGACTGGCGACCGCAGTTTTCTATATTCTAGTTGTTATTTGAATGGCGCGGCTGGGATAATGGATATTCTTACACCGCCATTACACGGTTAATGTGTGTGTCTAATACAATGCATTTTTTCCTAATTTTAAAGTGTTCATTAATGTATTCTAGGTACGTAAAAACTTCTTCCCGCCGAGACCGAAGCGAAAACACAAGCGTAACTTTCTCGAACACGAGAGTCCGCGAAACGATCCAGAAATCACGAAAGACGTCGATAGTGTCGCCCGAATCGATTCTATTGTTCACCTCTCGCAGGACTCCGGCGTGGAATCCCTAGGTTTCAATACAGCTTCCAGTCAGGAGTTGAGCCAGATCGATAGAGTTGGCATTTCAGAGGTCGAGGTTAAAAGTGAGGGTAGTTGCCAAAATGTGATATTAGATAGGCATCACAAACGGCGGGCGGAGTCCGCCGATAGGAAAAATAAAAGGATGAAGGTAGATTATTCGGATACAGACAGCGATTCTAGTTTGGATAGCGTTAGGGAAACTGAAATAGAGAAAGTTAAACCTCTGGTTAAGATGGTGAGCGACCCCTCTCTATCCATCAAAGAGGTGGATTCGGCTAATTTGTCAAAACGGACGATAATTAATTCGCTGAAGGAGAACTTGGACTCGAACGACAATATGTGCATAGTTTGCTTCTCGAAGCCCAAATCGGGTGTGTTCGTCCACGGCCGGATAGCCCACATTTGCTGTTGTTACAATTGCGCTGTTAAAGTGTGGGCGAAGGCGAAACGGTGTCCCTTATGCAATTGTAAAGTCAGCAATGTACTGCGAGCTGTCATGTAGTTAGTATTGTATATACTGTATATATCAGGTTATTATTAGATTCGTTATATAATTGTTGATTGGAAATTGATGCGAAAGAAACGCAGGATGATTAGGAGGGAAGATTTAACTAATATTTTTGTTATATTAAGGAAAAAACTAAGTAGGAAACAATAATAATTATAAAAACTTGCAAAATTAGAAAAGAGGAAAATTAAATTAATATTTTATTGCTACATTATCTATATAAACTTACATTTGAAGAAAAAATAAATAGCAAACATAAATAATTACAGGTACCCGCGAACACGAGGACTTATTACCTATACGATATAGATTATAAAAATTCCTTTCCATTTGCCCTATTGTATTTCAAAATCTTGGTCGATTTCATATATACTTTTCTATTACAGTTTAGGTCGGCGCAGGTCTCTCGAACCTAAGACAGATTCAGAGATAATTTCTAATCCAACTCAAACTTAACAACAAAATCAAAATTTAAGTAAGAGTATATGGTCAGACTCGAATTTTAACACGGTGAAGTTTCGACTTTAAGCTCGAGATGGTCTGAATATCGGAATAGGAGGCGTTGGTGATATACTTAGAATAGATATTATTAAAGTTTAAAGTAAACACCAATTTATTTTTCACGGTCAATATATATAATTTAAGTATGCGCATTGTAAAATGAAGTATAAAGGTTAATTAAGTAATTCTAACAACAATTTTAAGAATCATATTAGAGAGTATATAATATATGAGTTAGACTGCGTCAAAATTCCAAGTATATCTGTAATAAATATACCTGTTGTGTACCTTTTTAATTTTTAGGTACAACTTAACAAATATAATTTCAAGAACCAATCGCGTAATTTACAAAAAAAAAAGATCAGTTTCTTACTGTTAATGTAATAAGATGTACATATCACTAGTATTTTTTTTTAATAATATAAGAGTGATAGGCGAGCGATCAGTCCACCTGATAGTTTTAGCTGCAACTGTAACTACAAACAAATAAAACCGTCCGTAATTGTGCTGTCTCTTTTCACCCTTCAAATCTGAACACAACAATGCTGTTGTTGGCACTTGATTTACCCATTAGTCCAGATAGTACATGCGGAATCATGACTACTTTAACTGTGTGTATGGAAATTATTCAAAATAACTTACTGCCAATATTGGTTGCTCATTATTTTATACTTACATTTTACAATCAAATTTAATCCGATTTAATTTGCTATATTGCACAGTTCATAAGTTAAACCACAATGACGGTTTTAAACTATTATAATACCACATAAACTCATTAAATCCCATCTGGGCAAAAGACAGACACAAAAAAAAAAAAAAAAAAAAAAAAGAAGGAAAAAATAATTTTTTTTTTATATAAAAAACACAAAAAAAAACAATACAAATAAAATACGAAGAAACTTCCCCAACCCGATATTAGCAACGCGACGGAGTATTCCTTGCCTTAAAACACTAGATATAAGAGGAGGCTTTTACCCAGCCGCGGGACATATATAGGCTGTGTCTTTATTTAACTTATATAATAATAACAAGGCTCTCATTCCAAACAAATGAAAAAAAAACTCTTAACGTCGTCGGCGTTCGAAAAATATTGTGAAAACTAAGTTATCGTTTTACAATTGCGAAACGGAATAAGAACAAATAATAATTGTAAATAAATATAAAAAGCAATAGTTATACCTTCTCTAACGAATATTATTTAGTTACCTGTCAACCACAATAAGATACATTAATTATTATTTTGACTATTTGTTTCTTCGTCATTATCGTCATTAAGTTTGCATATTCATTGAAACAACTATAGAGATAGTACCAAGTGTCAAACTTACGAAAATTTGCGGACAAATGTGGTTTTATTTCTAGTAGGTAGAGTAAGACATTGTTTAAGGTATTTTATTTAAATACGCGTTTTCCACCGAAAGAGTTGAAATAATATATGCTGTTTAGATATAGGTTAGATTATAATATGAGGTACCTACATACTTTATATATACATAGATAGAATCAAAAGTAAATTCAGTTAATTCAAAATAAACAATCGTTTTAATATAGAAGATCAATCTTATTAAGAATAAGTTAAATAATTAGTTAAGGAAGGACCAGGAATGATTTAGTTACTACATACTCAGAGCTACATACCGAATAAAAAGGATGAGCTTCTGTCAAAAATGCCGATCAAATGTCATTTTATAAATAATTTGTCGGCAGTAGCTTTTTAGTTCTTTGCTTTATAATTTATGTGATTTAATATCACTAATAAACTAATTTACGTGATAGTCATGCTGCAGCCACATTGTGGTTGCAACACGAATGGGTCGGTTCGACCGGGGTGTTTATTCCATCTCAGTCCTCAGGGCTGGCAACGCATCTGCATTTTGATTTTTAATTGGAGTTAAATGTAGATGCCTAGGGGCCACAGCATCCACTTAACATCAGGTGGACTGTGTGCTCGTTTGTCACCCTTATACTATAAAAAAACAATAGTCGGCAAGATAGTGGTGTATTAATAAAGAGCATCTATCATTGCAGTGCGATTATTGTGCAATAAAAATAAATTTGATCAAAAATGACAGCTCTATTTTCGTCATTCTGAAATTGGCGCCAATTTGCATTTATTTTACCTTGCTGACGATATTAATATAATCTACAAAGTATTCCTGGTCAAATTATACATAGTTTACCTATTTATAGGTACATTTATTAAATGCGCTTCGAGAAATTAAGTTATTACTACTTTTAACTTTTTTCTACTAAAATCAAGCCCACCATCTTTTCCTACCGCATAGAGCTTCTAATATTGTTTTCTTGTTAAAGTGATATTTATATATAACAAAATATATATTCTGTATTAGAAAGGGAGATATTATAAAAGTGTAAATTTTAACTAGGTTTAGCGTTAGACACTAACTTGTGATTATAATTGTGCTTATTATTTTTATTATGGCTCACTTAGACTGCTAATGTAACTATGTTATGATATGCACAAATAGAAAAAAAAAATTATAACAAAAGAAAAGAAATCGAAAAAGAATATTCGATTCTGTTATTAAATAAAAGATATTAATAATAAATTTTTTATTTTCAGGAAATATGTTTTTTATTTAAACCTTATCCATTGTACCTTGTACGTTATTTTTAACTAGGTAAAATATTAAATATAACTAAGTATTTATAACTCATGTTTCATACAAAATTTTTTTTTCAAACGGCGTGGTCTGGTACTAATAAACTATATATCAAGAGTGGCCAACTTGATTAGACCCAAGATCTACTGTTTACTGACGAAACCCTGTGCGATCTACCAACTATTCTCGAAATTTTAAATGAAACATTAAAGTTCAATTTACAATTATGTAGTATTTAAGTGAAGTTGTTCAAAACATTTCTTTCAGGTTGGATATTTCGCGTTGAAAACCAATGCCCAGAAATTTAGACCAGACTAGACTTTTAGAAATATATCATTCCAGCCACGATCGACTGGGTTAATAGCCGCGATCGACCGGTTGATATTTATGGTGACTAGAGTAGTAGAAACTGTAATAATATAAAACCTCAACTAGGTACTCACGGTGTCTAAAATAATTTAGTAATGTATAAAATAGAAAAAGTAGCCGTGAAACATATTGGAGTGATTTTGAAAACAATAAAATAATAATTATAAAAGAGAATTATGGCGAAATTTTGTGCAAAAAAAGTTCTTTTAATTTATTCTCTAGCTACAGTGGCGCCACTCTTATTTAACGCTTTCCTACGGACACTTTAATATAATATACTTAGACGGTTCTTACCTCTACTTTTAGAAATTTATCAGCTTCTAGGGCAGTCACAAATATTGACATCTGGCGGGCGGAAGGATATTATGGGTATGTTCCGAAACGTTTCCAGTATACTGCCGAATACAAATGACGTTATCAATTGATACCATATTGTACTTGCGTGCCGCTGCCATATTGTGTCGGATATCGGGACATAATAAAACAATTTTTAATTGTGTGTACGCTGAATGAAGCATGCCAGAATTTGTTTTTATTTATTCAAATACAAAAAAATTATAGAATAATTGCTGATATCTCCATTACGAGGATATAATGATTTTTGGAGCACAAAATGACAAAATAATCGCCAACACTTTTTCAATGTGGCGCAAATGTATCACGTCATGTACTGTCCTATGTTTTGGAACGAATCACCAGTACGACGTGCAAATGACGTCACGGTTCATGACGTCATTTGCATTGGACAGTGCAATGGGTTCTATTATGGAATATACCCTATATTAGCCCTCATTTAAATCCTTTCTAACAGATCGCCCAAAAGCATTATAGATAAGCTGGTATAGAAAAGCATTTAGAAATCTATTTCGGATTATTATTTTGTAACGTGGGATAAATTTCCTATATTAGTTAGGTAACAATCCGAAGATAAATAAAAATAAAATGATATCCTTGAAAATTTTCGCAATATAAAGAAATTAAGGTTTTGCTTTTCAAAACTATATTCCTCGGTTACAAAAATAAACTGAAGGTAACTTGGAGGTACTCAGCGCGGCGAACATATTGCTCCATTAGCCTCTAAAAATGAGAAGTCTTTTGGCCAGGACAGGACACAAACATTCAGCAAGACAAGACTAATTTTCTTAAAGTATCATATAAGTACCTAACTTTTTTAATGCGACAGCTGGATATAAACTTTGCCAAGAACGCGCCAGGTTACAAGCTTGGAAGAGTTAGCGCGCGGTCGACAACCGCAGTTTTTTCATTGTTAAGCTGATAATAGGAAGATGTTTCTGTCCATTTTTTTCAATGTTTCCCTGTCCCCTCTTACGACACACGGCACAATTATGTGGTGTAGTGGACTTATTTTTATAGAAGGGGGGGGGGGCTAATGAGCATGCGGCTCCTACCTTATGGTGTGACCAGCTGAAACACCAGGGGAATTGCATGTAGGTGCGTTGCTTGTCTTTTAAAAAGGAGTAAGTTCTTTTCTTGTAG